TTTTATATAGTTTGCGTGGTGCTCTGTGTACAGTATACAAATATGTGTATATGTATATATATATATATATATATACATACACATACACTGGAACATCCGTATTTGTTTATTACATACAGGGCTCTGCTTCCTGTTCAGTAATACTATATAGTCATTGTTCTTCTTTTAATGCAAATCCGTCAGTCACTGTTTAAAATGTTCGGGTCTGACTACCTAAGGGAGTACCCCAAGCCCAACTCCAAGGTAACTTTTTTTTGTATTTACAAAGGTCCCCTTGGGCATTAACCCCTTAAAGGAGAACTATGAGGTGAGGTGAAAATCACTCACCTCATAGTTCTAGGCGACCTGTGACAATGAGACTGTCACAGGTCGGCTCAGTAGATCAGGAAGTGAGCGAACACATACCGGCGCTCGCTCACTTCTCGATCCTGTCACTGCAGCTGCTGCTAGATCGTAGAAGCGATCTAGCAGCAGCTGTGCCGCCAGAATCGCTTCTACTATAAAGTCGGTCGCCGGCTCTACAAAACAGGCTAAAAGCCACCGGAGTCTGTGTAACCCCTTCATACTTCATGACAGGATTATCCCGTCATAGGTCGTGAAGGGGCTAAAAAAATAAAATAAAAGCTGTTATGGCTGCGATAAACACACAGCAGTACCGCTAATCTGCCACAAGATGTCCTCAGCCTTCTGGGTTGAATGCCATCCAGTGACCTTCAACCCAGAAGACTGAGGACATACAGTGAGTGCAGGGCATCAAGGACTCGCTCCCCGAGGGGCATCACGACAGTGCCCAGCGCTCAAGAGTTCGGCTTAAATAAAAAACGTTCAATGTATAAAGAAAAAAAATTGCTACTATCATTTTTTTCTACGGGTCCTTCGCTTTAAATACATGGAGATGTTTTGGGCTTGTAGGTAACATTTCAAGGCACTGGTGCTCATTTTTGCCCGCGTGTGAAAAATGGAAAAATTGGTTCTACAGCAAAAGGGTTAAAAGATTGGAATGTTCAAAAATGTTATCTTTACGACTCGTTGGGGCACATGGTTTACATACCTATCTGTGTTATTTCTCCAGCATTCTTCCTTACTGATATAAGCAGATCTGATAAGTCATGCAGAACATAACGACCTGAAGGGCTTTATTCAAATAGTTTAAGCCAATCGCAGTTCAAGGTGCACTATTGTGAAGAACATTGTGAGGGGTGATTCACGAAGGAGCCAGCCATAACTTCGGCTGATCCTTCGGCTCTCTTCGACCACCTGAGCCCTTCGGTTCAGTCGAACTGAAGGGCTGCTGTACGGGCTGTTCACTATATCCTGTACAGCAGCCGAGCAGCTCAGACTGAGCCAAAGTGATCGCCGAAGCCATATGTGCCAGCTGGCCAACGTTTGTCTATTGGCCCATTCACACCAGGACCATGCGTTAATTGCACAGTCCAGATTAACACATGGTCCATGCAAACGCACCATATGCGTGTTACCTGCGGAAGGTGCATTGCGTTGCCATTCATTTGCATGCACGTTTTTCAATCACAACATTGTGGTACCATGCATTGCAGTGTATATATTCTGTATATCGTGTGCGTTTGTGCTTTTGGGTGTGCACCTTAATGCAAAAGGCTGCATATCTATGATTTCTTCTTTTTCAACTCCTCTTCTATTCTTCTTCTTCTCTTCTCTTCTTCTTCAATTCTTCTTCTCTTCTCGTCTTCTTCTTCAATTCTTCTTCTCTTCTTCTTCAATTCTTCTTCTCTTCTCTTCTCTTCTCTTCTTCTTCAATTCTTCTTCTCTTCTCTTCTCTTCTTCTTCAATTCTTCTTCTCTTCTCTTCTTCTTCTTCAATTCTTCTTCTCTTCTTCTTCTTCTTCAATTCTTCTTCTCTTCTTCTTCAATTCTTCTTCTCTTCTTCTTCTTCAATTCTTCTTCTTCTTCTTCAAATCTTCTTCTTCTTCTTCGATTCCTCTTCAATTCTTCTTCTCTTCTTCTCTTCTTCTTCTTCTCTTCTTCTTTTTCTCTTCTTCTCTTCTTCTCTTCTTCGATTCCTCTTCTTCGATTCCTCTTCTTCGATTCCTCTTCTTCGATTCCTCTTCTTCTTCATTTCCTCTTCTCTTCTCTTCTTCTTCTCCTTCTTCTATTCTTCATCTCTTCTTCTTCTCTTCTTCTTCTGATCCTTCGTCCTCACTCACACAGCTAAGGGCCGGCCCGTACAGATCTGTGCTGCGTGCATGGCTGTGTCGGGCCGCTCCCGGGAAGGACAGGTGCTGCGTGTGATTAGTACACAGCAGCCTGCTCTTCCCTATGAGAGGACGTGGCCGTACGCTCACACTAGCTGCACATCCGTGCGGGTGTCCGTGCTCGGACGCAGACAGGATGGTATAATCTATATAATCCATA